GTTGTACATCAAGGACATCATCCCAATTACATTCTTGGCATTTACTCAAAAAATTATTTTAAATCTCTCTTTCAAAAGCAAGTTTTCTTCTTTAGTGCTCTTCCTCCCTGAAGGTGGTAACATATCATTTCATTTCACCCCAAGGTAGGCATTCCTGGGTTCTGAAGAACAAATTACCATGGTTCTGAATTTGACAATAGGAATGGTGTACAGAGATCGTATTACCACCGGTCGCCAGGCAAGGTTCCCCAAATTAGTGTAGTTTCAGATGGGGTGCCCAAAATTGTCTAGCTACTCCGCAGAGATAGTAAGAATTGCCGATGCTGGAGTCAGAGATAACACACAGTGTGGAGCTGGAGGAACACAGCAGGCCAGACAGCATCAGAGGAGCAGGAAAGTTGACGTTTCGGGTTGGGAAATTCTTCAGAAAAAGTTTCCCGACCCGTAACGTCAACTTTCCTGCTCCTCTGATGCTCCCTGGCCTGCTGCGTTCCTCCAGCTCCACACGGTGTTTTCTCTAGCGACTCAGTAAGTGGGATTGACTAGGCTGCCCTTCTTTATTCACCAAAACCAAACTTGTGAATACCTTTCTCCCAGACAAAAGTAGGTTAAGTTTAAGAAGGAGCCAATTCGACCAGGCTTTCATGAGTTGTCAGAAGAGTTCATTAGCCATTAATTGCAAAACAAAAATAACGTAACACATATGCATACAGATTAGAAGAGGTGAATCAAAAAGAAGTCGGAAGTTTAAAGAGGGGTACTGATTAGTCTCAAAGTGCAAAGAAGTGCAAGCAATGGAACACTGCATCTTTTACACTGGACAATACCAGCAGTACTGATGATGTTTGAGGAATGGCTGGTTGAGATGCTTGGCGCTCGCAGGTCAATTGGAAGATCTTGTTGTTTCCTTTCAGTGTCAGTTTCACTTGCTATCTGGCTTCCATCAAGGAGAGTAGAGACTTTTTTAAAAAAAAAAGTCTGCAGTTCAAGTATGGCTAGGAATTTCTTCAGCTGTTACTCACATTACACACAAAACCAGGATTGAAACTATTCTTTTTAAAACGCCTATACCAATGTATTTTTGAAAGAAAAAAAAACATGTCTCTTCCCCAGACTAATTATTTTTTGCCCATCATGTTCATAGTCGAGGATAATTCATGGGAGATTAAAAATTCAGCTTATAATTCATTTCTTCCATTGAAGCCTTCATTTTGAAGTTTGACACCCATCAGATGTGACATTTTTGGATCCTCCCCAAACTGACGATAATCCAAGACAGGACTTCCAAACAGACACGGAGTTACACTGCTCTGGATTTACCACAGTCATTTTTAGGTGTGCGTTTTCAATATAGCTGGAGGTCCAGGAGTAATGATTCGTCATCATGACACTAAAGTCAAGACCAGGCTACTCCTGGATAATAATGAGCGGTGAAAAGTGCAGGGTGCCATTGGAATCTCCAGAAGTGGAGATTAATACTCTTGGAAAGCTAAATTGGATAATATTTCCCATTAAGATGCCAACATCTATTTTTCTTAGATTTAGAAGGATCACGTTAGCCCTTAAGGAGTAATGGACACTAGATAACTTAATACACCTGGAATACTGGCAGAAAGGGTTTACTTGCAAGGTAGTATATTGGAATGGATATTTGTTTGTGGCTGTCAACTGTCACAAGACTGTAGTCAAGAGCATTTTTCTTTGTGTCTACACTTCAAAAGTAGTTTATTAGCTGTAAAGAACTTCAAGACATCTACTGGTCATGAAAATAAATCTTTTTTATTTTACAAGGAATTCAAAGATGCAAAAAAATTTAAATTGCTGCATTAAAGTGAATCCCATCTTCTAGGCCAGAAACCATACCTTTGTATATACTGTATATATCAATCTATAATTCATCCATAAGGATATTCTTGCATTAGTCAGCCTCAATTTTTACCCACACAAATAAAATGTTTTCCTTTTTGTTATTCCTCCCTGGGATGTGAGCTAGCTTTTATGGCTCCTCTCCAAATGGACAAACGCTTGTCAGGTCATTTCACAGGGTAGCTAGGAGTCAGCCATATTGCTGTGGATCTGGAGACATGTGTAGGCCAGACAAACTGACAATGGCAGACACTAAAGGCTATTAGTTCAATTGTTACATGACCTCTATTACACTAGCTTTAAACTCCCCTTACCACTACTTAATAATTGGAGCCAAGGATTCCAATAGGCACTACAGGACATGTTGCCAAGATATGCAGGAGTTTAGGATACAGATGTCAGATGAAGTTTCAAAGTAGCGACTGCTGCTGGCATTTCACATATATACTCGGCAAAGAAGATCACCTCGTATGTCAATGTCTGCGATAGTTGCAATGCCCAAATGCTGTTCAAGCACAAATCCATCAACAATGCGAAAGATCTCTGTCCGATTAGTAAAAAGTGCCACACTAAGATTGATGCTGATTAACGAGTTAGAACATGGAAGTAGGAATAAACAAGCATCACAGAAATTGTCTCAGTGTATTTAGTTGTTACAATCAAAAGCTTGGAGGATCCACCCCACACACAGATGCATTTGATCAAACAAAGCATACCTTTTTGGAAGGTATTCACAACTGAGTCAATAATGTAACAGCTACATTGCAGTAAATAGCAACTTCCCAGATACAGCCAAGGGTGAGCCTCGCTAATGAGGCACAGACCAGAATGGAGAATCAGGAACCTTCTGGTCCATATAACTTAACATCTTAACATGTGGCAGAAATAACCTGATCATTGCTACACAAAATATTTGCTTTGTTTGTATACACCAACACTTGTCGTAGGGAGGGGGAAATCACAGCACATACCTCAGAGATAATTCAATATAACAGGCTCAGAGGGGAGGAGTAGGAAAATATGGTAATGAATGTGAAGAATGAAGCCACTGCCTCAAGCAAACCTTTTTAATTTTACTCTTTGTACCTCAGGCATCAATAGCATCTCCAGAACGTAAAACAGCCTGCTCAAGTTATACAAATAAAAAAAAATGCTAGAAATTCTCAGCAGGTCAAGCAGAATCAGTGGAAAGGGTAACAAATACACCTCAGGTCATCGACTGTTTACTAGGACCTGGAGTAAGTTAGAAATGTGATGGGTTTTAGGCATGACCAGAGCCAGGGAAACAGGGAGATAGAGAGAAATGAGGGGGCAGCAAGGTGGAAAGGACAATTGGGAATGGAACAGGTAGGGCAGAAGACAGATAAGATTAAATGAGAAAAGGCAAACCGTGTAAGTCAAACAAAAGTGTTGATCAGACAATTCACAAAATAAGTCAAGATGATGTGTAAAGGTAGTTTTTAAAGTGTTCATGGAACATGGGAATCACTGAAAACCACAGCATTTTTGACCATCTCTAACCATTCACAGCAGGTTGGTTGCCTTCTGAAACCCGCATCCCATCTGGTGTAAGTACACCAACAGTATTGTTAGGAAGGATTTTGACCCAGAAAAAGAAATAATGTTGTGTGTGTCTTGGGAGGACAATTTGCAGGTCATGTTCCTACGCACCTGCTGTCCTTGTTCCTCCAGGTGATAGAGTTTGCAGACTTGAAAGGTGCTGTTGAAGGAACCTGGCAGAGTTGCTGTAGAGCATCATTTAGATTTTATTTCAGATTTTCAGCATCCAGAGGACATGGCCTTTTGCATCACTGACAGCAGTTTTTATTGTGCATAATAAAACCCTGAAAAACCAAACCTAAACTCAAATGTCTCAATATTTAGTAGCTTCAAAACATCTATAGGAGGAGTGGATCCAAGCCTGCTCGACTATTCAACATCTTTTTGGACGATTAGCTGTTTCAACTCCACTTTCCCGCATATCATATTCCCCATATCACTCAATTTCCTGAGATGCAAAATATAGTCTTGAATATGCTTGACAACAAAGCATTCTTGGCTAGAAAACTGATGTTTCATGACTCTGAGTGAAGAAATTTCTTATCCCAGTCCCACATGATTAACTGCTTATTCTGGAATTGTATCCTGCTTGTTCTACATTCCCCCAGCCAGTGGAAATGAACCACCAGCGTTCATCCTGTCAACCCACTCAGCACCTCATGTTTTTATGATATCACTTCTCATTGTTCTAAACTCCGGAGACAGGCTCAACTTATTCAATCTCTCAACCTATTTGTTCCAAAAGATAACGGCGGGAAGTTAGTTCATACAATGGATGCCATTTCTATGATGAGCACACAAATTCCACCAGAAAAGGCACATCGTAACACTCTGCCAACCAGTTTGGCACATAGCTGGGAGGGGGAGGAAAATAGCCAAAATGAAATGCAGGAACCTTGAAAACATATTGCAAAAATGATGTGATGGTGAAACTCAAACCATATTAGCTAAAAGTTTACAGCTTGAATGGCAATAAATTCTCTCACGTCAGAACTAAGTTTGGCCTCTCCACTAAAAATACCCAAATATTTTGTCCTTACCTAGGTGAACCTCTGCTACACATTCTTTGGCAAATACTGTCTTCCCTGGGTAAGGGGACAAAAACTGCGCACAATGCACCAGGTGCAGTCTCACTGTGGTGCTATAAGGTTGAAGCAAGTCATATTTACTCCTATACTCAAAGTTGTCTTGTGATAAAGTCAAGCATAGAATTTACTTTCCTAACTGTTTGTTCGATGTGCTTGTTAACTTCCAGTAACCCATGACAAAGGACACCCAGGTCCCTTTGGGCATGAATACTTCCCAGTCTCTCATTCATTTAAAAATTATTCTACCACTCTTCCATCTACCATGCTCTTGCCCACTCATTCAGGCTCTCCAAATCCCCTTCAAACCTCTTTGCATCATCCTCAACAGACATACCCACTTAGTTTGGCATCCTCCCCAACTTGGGAAAATTACTTTTGGGCCCCTCATCCAAATCATTGGTAAAGATTGTAAATACCTGGTCCCCAAGTATGGTTATATGATTTACTATAACAAGTACTACAAATTATTTGAAGTATTCAACTTACCAGACCAGCTATTGGTGTGGACAGGCGGTTGATCCTTTTACTGACACCTGGTTTTATCTTGTTAACTAGTCTGGGAAGAGAGCAAACAAAAAGTAGTTACTTACCCGCAATTAATTCCACACTCAGCAAAGCAACATTTTGCATGGTTGTATTAGAAATAGACTGCTTTGTTTCAGTGCATACAAACGTTGATCAATTAGTTACAACCACACTGAATACAAAGCAAACACCATTACATATTACAGATATTACAAAGACTAGTTTTACTGTATGTTGTTGAATTATATAACTGATATCACCTTTGTTCAAGATGGCATCAGTGTAAGACACTCCAGTCGGAGCTCCTCTGCTCACCAGTTCCTTTTCCTTTCTATTTTTTTCCCTTTTGCAGCAGTTTTTCTTTTCCCGCCTACCACCAAATTTCTTAAACTACCCTACCTGGAGAATGGAGGTGAAACAAAGACAGATGTGTCACGGCCAGAGCCCAGGCAGGAGCAGAGCACGTGGGCAGAGTCTCAGAGCAGTGGCAGAGTGAGGACGGACCATATCCCGGGGCACGGAGCAGAGCAAGTTGCAGCCAGAGCCTAGACTGGCAGCAGAGAGCGCGCAGACCAAGTCCCAGAGCAGGGGCAGAGAACGCGCGGACTGGAGCCTGGAGCGGCAGCGGAGTGAGTCCTGGATGGAGGCCACTGCATGGAGGCCTTGCGTTCTGAAGCAGCAGGTATGGACTCATGTTGGAAAAGGGCTATAAACGTGCATAAGCTATAGATGGCTTTTATTCTCATTCCGGACTTTTGAACTCTATATTCTCATGCTATTCTTTTCTTTTTACTATTTCAATTCTGTGACAACACAAAGTGTCTGTACCTAGGTAGCCTGTACCTAAAATGGCATGGAGAGGCTACATTACAAACTTTTCACTGCACTCATTTGAGTGCACATGACAATAAAGGCTATTCTATTCTATTCTATACATTAGCAACAGAAACAAAATGGTCACTGAATAGAGAACCTCAGTTTATGCTTGATCACAATAACTGCAGTATTAAAATAAAGTAATCTCAAAATTAAAATAACCCTGTTTGTGGTGAAGGCGCAGCTTCAAAATAAAGCTAGACTTTCATTAGCTGTCTGGCTTACAGTAGCTTAATGTTTACGTACCAACATTGACATTACCTACAAGTGGCAATTTGGATGGCAAAACATAGACAGGTTACAATAACTGATGTAAATAGGAATCAATTGCAGGATGCCACAACTGGCACAGAAAAAAAAATGAATTCTGCCACTGCATTTGAAGATGATTGGCAAAATAAATTGGCTAAGCTACCTTTACAAAGGGAAACTAAATCACAAGTGCAAACACACAGCCCACCCAGAAACTAAGAACAATATCAAGCAGCTTATAAAGGAAGCAGTGACAACTGGACAATACATCAAACTGTTGTTACAACAGAGATGGGAGGAGTTTGCGGACTTGCTCTACTTCCACTGCTCCAAGGGTCCCAGCATAAATACAATTGTTTTTGTCCAGGGTTTTCAATATGGCCAAAGCTCAACTTAAAATAAAGAACAACTTAAAATAAAGAACCAGGATTCTCTACTGAACACAAAATTGATTATAAGCAAACTTGATTCAATGGGGGCAGCACAGTGACTCAGTGGTTAGCACTGCAGCCACACAGTGCCACGGACCTGGGTTCGATTCCAGCCTCGGGCGACTGTGTATGGAGTTTGCACTTTCTTCCTGTACCTGCGTGGGTTTCTGCCGGGTGCTCCAGTTTCCTCCCACAGTCCAAAGACACACAAGTTAGGTAGATTGGTCATGCTGAATTGCCCATTGTGTGCAGGGATGTGTAAGTTAGGTGCATTAGCCATGGGAAATGCAGGGTTACAGGGACAGGATGTGCAGGGAGTCTGGGTGGGTTGCTCTTTGGAGGGTCGGAGGGGGCTTTTTGGGCCCAATGGCCTTTTTCCACTGTGGGGATTCTATGACAATGTAAAACAGATTTAAAAGTTTGTAACATGAAAATATTTAAATGTACACGGCTCTTAAAAACCCGAAACATATACAAATACACACACTCACCCACACACCAGGTAATGGGAAAAAGTAAATGAGTTTCTCTTTGCAGAGATCCACTTTGGTAGAAAAATATTCTTGGCCAATAAGTCTTAGCTCTTGAAGGCAAAACAAAAACCCAAAGTGCGAGGTGCTCAAATAGCTATCAGTGTGACATTCTGTTGCAAGAAGAAGATGTCAACATACAAATCTCTGGGGTTATTGCCAATGCAACTTACTGAGGGGAATGAAAAAATTCTATCTAGAATTCTTCTGGTTGCTCTGCAATCTGAGGATAATGAAACGTTCAGACTCGGCCAGAGCTCCAGTACCAAATGGGGTCCACAAGAGAATTTTCACAAACGGGAGGGATGAGTTGGGAAGCTCTTTTCCTTCCCAGGCTGGCCAACTGAAAAATCCAAACATCCATTCTCCAAAACAGAAGCCGCAACCTGGCAGTGATAAACCCAGCTCTTAGAAGGGGCTCATAAACAAGCAGTTGTCACAAGACAGGACTTTCAAGTAATGTCTTGTGTTTTTTAAAAAAAGTTTCACTATCCATTCACAGTCCTCTTTACAAAGAAACCCAGATATTGACAACCATTCAAACTCAAAAGTCTGCAAAAATTATTAAAAATGAAACTACCATAACACTATAGAATAGAAACAGACCAGTTGAAAGATGGGCCAATGATGGATGTATTGTTCCAAGAATGTTCTGATGTGAAACTGCCATCAATCTAACAGAATCTGGCGGCAATCAAGATAAATCTGGCAATGCACCAACTACATGACAAGGTTACACTGTGGGATTGCCTTTTTAGTTAGGCAAATAATGCGAGCGAAAAAAAAAAAGAACCTCTGGCAGATGATCATTTTGTTCTCAACATTAAGTGAAAAGGGAGTTCTACTGTTTCCGTTCAGTCTCACATGGGTAACTTAATGCTCGACAGCAACAATACAGCATTTAGCATAGGGCAAGAGAACTGTATGGAACTGAGTACCTCTGTTTAAAATAAAGATAGATGAAAGCCTTCTACGCCAGTCAACATTAACCAATTAGTAGCTAATCCGGCAATCCAGTTTATCAGTTCAAAGTTTGGACAGTAGTTGTGAAAATAGTCCAGGATGCTGTGTGTTCCTGTTTAGGAGGGTCATTATCAACTCTTAGCGTTCTGTAGACTCCATGAAAGGCTGCAGCAACTAAAGTACTTACCATCAGCTCTGAGGAAGGGTCACCGGACCCGAAATGTTAACTCTGTTTTCTCCGCCACAGAGGCTGCCAGACCTGCTGAGCTTTTCCAGCAACTTTGTTTTTGTTCCTAAAGTACATACCAATTTAAATGCAGTGATTAAAGGGGATTCTAACAAAAGCTCATCTTGACCAGAAGCATTAATGCTGTTTCTCTCCAGAGATGCTGCCTGAATCGTTGAGTATTTCTACTTACTTTTCCTGAATTCCTTGAAGTATTTTGCTTTTGCAAAGAAAACGCACTGGAGAGTCCAGGATGAATGCGACAAAGGGACTAACAATTACCATTCCAGAAAGGTCCCAAGATCCCAAAGTTGAGCACATGTGCAACTGGATTTTACTTATGATGTTGGGACATGTCACAAACATTTTTTTTGCCATCATTGGGTTAATTACCCTAATAAATGAGCACAAGCACAAGTATTTTCATCAACTTTGAACTGTCTTGACTAACTACAGTAAAGTTCATGACATGTAACTGAATCATAGATTCCCTACGGTACAGAAACAGGCCATTCAGCCCATTGAGTCCACACCAACCCTCTGAAGAGCCTCCCACCCAGACCCACCCCCTACCCTATCCCTGTAATCCTGCATGTCCCATGGCTAATCCACCTAGCCTGCACATATCTGGACACTATGGCAAAGTTAGCATCGCCAATCCACCTAGCCTGCACATCTTTGGACTGTGGGAGGAAACCAGAGTACCCAGAGGAAACCCACGCAGATACAGGGAGAATGTGCAAACTCTACACAGACAGTTGCCCGAGGGTGGAATCGAACCTGGGCCCTTGGAGCTGTGAGGCAGCAGTACTAACCACTGTGCCACCGTGCAGCCCTAAAATAAAGGTCTAGAATAAAGATTCAACTACAAGAGTGCATTCTTGATGCAGCCCCTCTTGGATGGCACTCAGCATTAATGAATTTGACAATACAAAAGCAGAAATATGCTATTGAAAGAAGAGACCAATATCTTCTCCACTGAATATCGAGGAGGGAGGGACCACACAGAGACCATTAGCGGATGCTCTCAAAGAAAGCAAGTTAGTAAATTTAATTAACCTGTGAGCAACAGCATTAAGTATTTGGCCTGGACTTTGTCAGGGTATTACATTTTAGGTTAACTAAGTCTGATTCATTACTGAAGTAATTTATTTTTGCATTTAACCAAAAAACCACCTGATCATTATGATACACAGACGTCTTGGTATCAATAACTCCCTCGACAGGTATAATTTGCTAATTTTAATTGCATGCAAAAAGAAAATCTCTCGCTTCAGGACCAGACAGAAGAAATAAGCAAAAAAAAATCCACCTAATTTATATCCTAAAGTATTTGGAGAAAAATAGTTGCTGCCTAAACCCAATTGCGATCCTGTAAGATGTATTCATCTTGGGTAGCAGAATCCAAAGACAAAAAGGATGAAAAGTAAAATATAGAGTTTTAAGGAGGTAAAGTAAAGACTGAACACACCGTTCAGCAAAGGAAAATTCATAATACTGTATGACACATTGGTCCACATAAACGCAAGGACTGAGATTAAACTTTAACGGTTCAAATATTGCACATAACAATTCATCCTGAAATTCAAACATTTAAAAACAGCCAATTTTTATTTTTAAGAATTGAGTCTTTTGCAAATCAAACTATTTTGATCAAAAGCAAATTAATACATTGTAGTTTCCCATTTTACTTTTAGTCACTTAAGGCACTTATACTGTGGCATACTTCGAAGCATCATTGTATTATAACCTC